TATTCAATTCACCTATAGCGCATGTCTTTTGACTGTGGGGGAAACCGGAACACCCGGAGGAAACCCACGCGAACGCAGAGAGAACATGCAAACTCCACAGAGTCCACACAGAAATGCTTATTGGTCCAACATGGAATCGAACCAATGACCTTTCTGCTGTGAGGCAACAAAGCTAACCACTGAGCCAGTGTCGCCAATTACATAATTAAATTCTTTATTTCAAAATAAATAGAAAAATATAATGATAAAATAAACTAAAAAGTTATTTTATTGCAAATAGGTTATTTTATTTTAAATAAACTACAAAAAAAAATTACTATAATCTTAAAATTAAAACATTTGATTATAGTGCAAACAAAAAAAGGGTTTGAATTTGCAACCTAAAATGTTATTAGCCATCAAGTACAAATTTAGGCATAAATTAATCGAATAAAATATACATTTAGAAAATTCTATTATTATTATTATTATTAAATATATTTATATAATTAACATTTAAATTGATTTAGTTTTCATTACATAATTTAAATCTTTAATTATTTCTAAATAAATATTTAAAACTTTTTTGTTATTATTAAATAAAGAAAGAAAATAAACTACTAAAATAAATCACTAAAATTAAAAATCTTAAAAAATAATAACTGTACACAATGAAAAGGTATGAAACCTAACATGTATTATTAGGCATCAATTAGAAATTTAACCATAAAACGTAAAAAAGAAAAATTATAACGAATTATAAAATAAACTTTAAAAAATTATTATAATTTTTTACAATTTTTGTTTCATTTGTTTTATGTGTATTGCTAAATTTCTAATTGATTCTAATTATTCTTATTCTTTTTATTATTTATTCTATTATTTATTATTATTATTTATAGAATTAACATTTATATTTTTTATTAGTTAGTACATCATTTAAATATTTCTAAACAAATAGCAGTATTAGATTTGCAGTTTTAATATTATAAATATTATATTAAAAATATATTATACATAAAAATATGTATTATAATAATATATAAAAATACATTTTCAGTAATATATACAAAAACATAATTTAAATATATTATAATATAAAAATATATTATAATATTATATTTATCAACATTTATTACATGCTACTTAAATGTACTAAAAATGATTCATTCTGGTGGCCTTCAGTCCAGTTAATGCATTCACCAAACACTTTTCCACACACAACCCATCACATTTAACTTAATCAACTATAATATGCTCGCATCAAACCATTTATAGCATTTTGCAGAACATTCTGAACCAATCAAAAACGAGAAACACCAAACCTCTTCAATTACTAGTGAAACAGTCATTCAAGTTCATTCAATATAGCATAACACACTCAGCAGCAAATGACAGCAGCAGCATCCCTCATATAGCCTAACACACGTTATTATGCATTATTGTGGCAGTGCACACTACAGTACACATAGCTTCAGTGTGTTTAGTTGAGGATGGAGGAAGTTAGACATCTTCATGCGCGCATCTGCACCGCTCCTAAACGCTCCAAACACACGCGTTATAACACACACAATGACCGCACGAGCACTCGGGCTCTACTCACATCTTTCTTGGGGATTTTAGGAGTGGTGTTCTTGTATTTGGACGTCTTGAAGCGGTTCATAGTGAGCTGCTGATCGCGCGGTTTCAACCTTCCGGGTGTCTCTCGGTGTTTGTGATCCTGTGCGTTTGAATGGATGCGTTTTTGTGACGCAGAGTTGGTGCGCGCGAAACGCCCCGCAGATTTACAAATCATAAGCTCGCACTAGAGGGGATACACATGCGGACGGAAGTTAACGAGAATTATTTATATTATTAAAAAAATTACCCATTAGTTGCATTTTGCTGACGTCTACCTGTACCCCCAACCTCCACAATAACTTAAAAACAGTAATTTTACTGAATAGTATTTATATTATTTATTAAATTACCCATTTAATTGTATTTTATTAACATCTCCCAGCGGTGTCCAAACTCGGTCCTGGAGGGCCGGTGGTCCTGCTGATTTTAGCTCCAACTTGCTTTAACACATCAGCAGGGATGCTTCTAGAAAGCCTAGTAAGAGATTGATTGATTGCCAGGTGTGTCTGATTGGGGTTGGGACTAAACTTTGCAGGACACCGGCCCTCCAGGACCGAGTTTGGACACCCCAGCCATACACCAACCTTAATCGCAGACCCCACAATAATGTACAAATAGTAATTATTAACGTACAGTTTATCAAAAATGATGTTATTTTGACGTGGGTATCTGCAGCTGTATCCCTTCTAGACTTAAAATCACGGCGGTCATTTCTGCGAAATCAAAACGCAGTGTGCTTTTAATAATTTGGGGTTTAATTAAAGGTATAGTTCACCAAAAAATTAAAATGCACTCACTGTTTACTCACTTGTTCAGAAACTGTTTAAGTTTCTTTCATCTGTTGACCACAAAAGAAGAAACCCGAAAACCTGTAACCATTGATTTTAATAGTAACCAAATACTATGAAAGTCAATGGTTACCGGTTTTTGGGTCTTATTGGAAAGATCTGCTTTAATGTTCAAAAGAAGAAAGAAACTTAAAGCACATTGATACAAGTGAAAAGTAAGTAAGTTAAGACAGAAAATGTAAGTTTTTGATGAATTATCTCTTAAAGCTTGTATGTTTTAGGGCAGGGGTGCTCAATCCTGTTCCTGGAGATCTACCTTCCTGTACAGTTTAGCTCCTACCCTGATCAAACCCACCTGAACCAATTAATTAGGACCTGAAATCCACTTGATAATTACAGACAGGTGTGTTTGATAAGGGTTGCAACTGAAATCTGCAGGAAGGTAGATCTCCAGGAACAGCATTGGCCACCCCTGTTTTAGGGTTACAATTGTGACACTTGTGTCCTCAATTTTGAAATTAGCTGTTATGAAAACCCCAAGCTTTTATATTTTACTTTAGCTCTGTTTTTTTTTTATTGATGTTTATAAGTCAGAGAGATACAGTTACAGTATCAAATCAGCAAGACATCGTTTTTACAGGAAAATCTTAATTTGTTGACATGTTCTTCATCTCCAAATCAAACATAGTACACTACTATTATAGCCTAAACTCTAGCATCACAAACAATATTTAGGACAGAAAACAGGTATAAAAAAAATAATAACAACAACAATACTACATTCATTCATTTTCCTTCAGCTTAATCCCTTTATTCATCAGGGGTCGCCATAGTGGAATGAACCTCCAATTTATCCAGCATATGTTTTATACAGCGGATGCCCTTCCAGCCGCAACCTACTACACCCATACAAACTCATTTACACGGTCATACACTACCGCCAATTTAGTTTATTTAATTCACCTCTAGCACATGTCTTTGGACTGTGGGGGAAACCGAAGCACCTGGAGGAAATCCATGCCAACACGAAGAGAGCAAGCAAACTCCACACAGAAATGCCATTTGACCCAGTAGGGACTCGAACCAGCGACATTCTTGCTGTGAGGCGACCGTGCTAACCACTGAGCCACCGTGTTGCCCAATGCTACATTTATATCTAAAAACAACAAATAAAAAAAATATATATATAGATAAGTTTACATGTTCTCCCTGCATATATATATTCCATAGGCTAAATTAACTATTTAATATACTATACATATTCTAAGGGATATTTAAACTATTAAATATGCTATATATATATATATATATATATATATATATATATATATATATATATATATATATATATATATATATATATATATATATAGACTAAATAAACTATTAAATATGCTACATATATTATAGAGACTAAATAAACTATTAAATATGCTACATATATTATATAGAATAAATAAACTATTAAATATGCTACATTTATTATATAGACTAAAAAAACTATTAAATATGCTATATATATTATATAGACTAAATAAACTATTAAATATGCTATATATATATATTGTATAGACTAAATAAACTATTAAATATGCTATATATATTATATAGACTAAATAAACTATTAAATATGCTATATATATATTGTATAGACTAAATAAACTATTAAATATGCTATATATATTGTATAGACTAAATAAACTATTAAATTTGCTATATATTGTATAAAATAAATAAACTATTAAATATGCTATATATTGTATAGACTAAATAAACTAATAAATATGCTATATATAATATATGTTAAATAAACTATTAAAAATGCTGTATATATTACATAGACTAAATAAACTATTAAATATGCTATATATATATATAGACTAAATAAACTATTAAATATGCTACATATATTATATAGACTAAATAAACTATTAAATATGCTACATATATTATATAGAATAAATAAACTATTAAATATGCTATATATATTGTATAGACTAAATAAACTATTAAATATGCTATATATATTGTATAGAATAAATAAAATATTAAATATGCTATATATTGTATAGACTAAATAAATTAATAAACATGCTATATATAATATATGTTAAATAAACTATTAAATATACTGTATATATTACATAGACTAAATAAACTATTAAATATGCTATATATATATATATATATATATTATATTATATAGACTAAATAAACTATTAAATATGCTATACATTAAATAGACTAAATAAACTAATAAATATGCTATATATATTATATATGCTAAATAAACTATTAAATATGCTGTATAAAGGCTAAATAAACTATTAACAAACAAATAAACTGAAAGCTATATTTCAGAACCATTTTTGTCCAGCAGATTTTGACTCCATATTTGTACACTAAATCCTCATAAATTACAATGAAGAGAATAATAAATGATTTACATAGTTTTCATTTTTATAGAAAAATAATTAAATATAATGAAACCTATTTTTTTTTTTTGTTATTAATTATTCAAATTGATCTTGAATTTCTCAATGTCTAGGACAGCCTCCATAAAGTTCCAGCCTGTCCACTTTATTGCACTTCAACCAAGAGTCTATGCGCATGCCGCTCGCACATGCGCAGTCGCTCTCGTCTCGGTAAGGAGCAAAGATGGCGTGTTCCGCGGCTCGCAGCTCCGCACGCTGGATCTCAGCGGCCGTGTCCTCCAGCCACAGCCGGGCATGCTCACCCTTCATTCCCCGAGCGGATGGAGCCTACAGGGGCTTCAAGAGCCTGTCAGGCCGGCAGATGTGGACGACACGCGGCGGGCTCTCCGGAGGAGCCGGGGCTGCGGTGACATTGAGCGGCATGACAGGTGAGGAATACAGGCCTGAGCATCAAACCTACACGCTTACTGGAATAATATACATTACAAAAACTTGTAAGTTCAAAACACTGAGTTCATAAAGCACATCCGATCAGCTCGAACCATATACTGATTAGTTGGTTTGACGGACGAGGCTATGTCATCACGTCAATTCACAACATGTAGGTCAGAAAGTAAACATGGCTGTGGCAATAAGCTATGATCAATACACACACACGCGATCACTTTGATCAAGATACCTGATCGATAATGCCAGAGTAAAAGTTTGGGCCTGAGGGTAAACCACAGACCTGCTCTGGCTGCATTTCCAGAAGCTTCCCTGACCTTGCAGGAGTTCTGCTGTACAAATAAAGACATTATATGAGACTAGATGTTGCTATTACGAAGATAATAATGAAGGTATTCAGAATGTTGAGTAGTGTGTTACGCTGTTTGGTTCAGTTTGATCTTTGTTGGGTTGCATCTGTTTTTATACGGTGGCTGAGAGAGCTCAAAGGGTTGGTTAGATTGATTGACGTTTAATTTATGTGTGAACTAACCCTTATTGAGGTAAAGTTGTTGTTATACTTACACATTCGCTCGTTTTTTTTTAACAGTGACAGTGCTATTTTAAATATTTCCTCTGAAATCGCTAGCAAGTATGACTTCAGATCAACATTAGCACTACTTAAATGACTAAAAAACACATTTTGATAATCATTGGCTGCTAATATGATGTTTAGAAATTAGGGATGTAACGGTATCAGATTTTCACGGTATGGTAATACCTCGGTATGAATGCCACGGTACGGTATTAATTGAATCATTTACAGGAAAAACAAACCTAATGAAAATACTCCAAAAAAAGTGCCAAAAGTGTCAATGACATACAAATTAGCCATCTATCTGTTAGCTTTGAAACAGAAACTTCAATTTTTCAATTTTAATAACAAAAAAATATTAAACCATGTAAAAAAAAAATAAAGTTTCAATTTAGTATTGTTGAAAACTCATCACATTCAACATTTAATCACTCACTCACTCACTTAAATAGAGATGGGGTTTAGGGAAAATTATATAACTAAAATCTGGTAAAAGCTGGTATCTCTGGGCATTTACAATGTCCCCTGCAACAGAAATGCCGACGCGACAACACCGCTATTCAGTACGCGCGCAGCGTCAACAACAACAGCCCCAACCGAAATGCTTGCACACATTCGATTTAAATCCTGCTTTGGGTTCGATCATTTCCAGCTCTTTTTCATCCCCGCTACTAGCAACACACTCCATTTCCGCATTACTGGATCTGTATGGATGATGGCCACGCCTGGGCTGATGGGAATTGTAGTTTCCGCTACCTCCCGTTTGCTTCATTCGCCTGAGCAAATTTTCTCAGAAGACCTATAGTTTTACCGAGTCATGCAACCACGGTAATATTGAAAAAAATTGCTATTGCGGTATGGCGGTATTTACAATACTGTTACATCCCTATTAGAAATAGTAAAGAATACCTTAAAATTATATTATTAAGGAGAAAGTCCAAGTGTGTGAATATAAAACCAACTTTACGTCAATAAGGGTTAGTTCACCCATAAATTAATTGTCTGTTATTGATTGTTCACCATCATGTAGTTCCAAACCTATGAGACGTTCGTTCATCTTCAGAACAAAATAAAGATGTTTTAGATGAAATCCTGGAGCTTTCTCATCCTCAGTCAGCAATGGTCCCAGCTCATCTAAAGTCCATAACTCTCAAAACAAGCTGTATCAATTCTTTTGTGTTTACATAAACAAAAGTAACAACTTTATTCAGCAGTTTCTTCTCCTCAGTGTCAGTGTTGTCATGATTAGGCATGGGATGATAACCGGTTTCAAGGTATACAGCGGTTTGGTAAAATCAAGGTTTTAAAACCGCTAAAATTTTCTGTTATACCGTTCCTAAGATATATGTAAGTTTTTTTTTTTTTTTTTTTTTTTTTTTTTTTAGGTTTTTTTTGTGTGTTGTAAATAAATCTGTGTTTTTGAAACCAATAAAGAAAGCAGAAGTCAATGATTTATTTTAATTATTTAGCTGGACATGCTAACTGTTACCAAAATATTATAAATGTTTCCTAAAATAAAATATATTGTGTTCAATGGGGTAAAAATGTAGTTTTTTTACTTAGACATTTAAAAAAAATACTTATATTAGAGCAGTAATTACAATACCGTGAAACCGTGGTATTTTTTTATCTAAAGTTATTATATCGTCAGAAACTTATACCGGCCCATCCCTAGTCACGATTAGGGTTGTAACAATATACCGGTATGACGGTCCACCACGATTTGAACGTGCACGATTATCATACCATGAATAATTGCATATCAACGGTTTTAACCCTTAAAGACCGAGACAGCCGCCCGCGCTAAAAATAAGTATTGCTCTTAAATGTTTAATAACTTATGATCCGCTGATCCGATTCATACAATTCAAAGATTGGCATAAAGAAGAGAATCTCAGCTTTCTCGGACTTTCAGAGGCTCCGGAATCAGTGTGGTTACGTCATCAAAATTTGACAACGCTGATTTGACAAAGAAACGCTCGTCACTGTGTCTCCGGACAAACCAGACATGATACATTGATGCATTGTCCCTCCTCCATGCCCAGATTGGTTCAAACTCGCTATATCACAACCAATAAGCATAGGTTTCACTTTTGTTTGTGGACCAACAATGAGCTTTTTGAACAACACTGAATGAGAGATACATTTATGCGCGGCTAAATAAAACGCAAAAAAAAAAAAGTTTTGCATGAAATAATTCTCATACTAAGTACCTTTGCATGCACAGCAGCACAGAAACATGACAAAACAGTGACACAGCAAAGACGAACTGCTGCTCTTGCTGTTTTCAAAAGACACAAATGAAGGTGCAGCTGTTTGTCTGCATTGCAGACAACCATATCCAAATCCAAATCAACAGACAACCATATCCATGCTGGCACATAAAACCTAAGGATGTTCCATATTGAATCTAGTTTCGTTATGTAACTATTTATAGTATAGTAAATATTTATATCTATTTTTTTACTGAGGATTTGCACCATGTTTATTTGGACTTTGACACATTATTTATTATTTTCTTATTTTTTTATTTGTTCATTGTACAAGTGGACACATTCTCTCACCTCAGCGGTCAAGATTAAGTCCTGAAAATCTCAACATGCTTACATTTCTTCATCACAACCTAGACTGAAAAAAACAACGCTTTAAATACATGTTTACAGCCATAAACTTGGTATTGCACTTTTGGTCTCCCATTTATCCTGCTTATAAGGAAGGACAGTTTAAGTTTGTTTTTGTCTGATCTTAAAAGACCTTGCTTGTTTATTCCTTCTAATTTAATTTATTAAAATGGGAAATTTTCAGTTTATTTTTTATAAAAGACTTCTATAGTTCTATTAAAATGGTTCTTTCAAAAGTTTGTTGAAATAAAACCTTTGTTCAGTCAGAAAACGTGTTCTTATTCTTTTCAGGGTCTTTGCTATGAGAATTACTATTTAATACCGTATACCGCGAAACCGTCAAACCGTGGTATTGTTTTAGACGATTATCGTACCGTAAAAAATTCATGCCGTTACAACCCTAGTCACGATACTGAATTTCGATACCAAACTGTTCTAAAATGTAAAAAATGTCCAGCGCTAACATTTGAGCTTGTTCTTAAACAGCACTGATTTGCCTTTGTGTTCACCTGCTCAACGTTAATGACTGTAATTGGTCGTGAAACTCATTAGTTCACTGCTGTAACACAGATACAGGGACACTGGAGTGGTTTAAAGTCACAAAGACCAGTCGATTCATCAGCAGATAAACTCATAAACAGACCAGCTGATCTTCGCAGCTTTAAAACGCTCCAGTGTCCCTGTAACTTTCTCTGCATTCGATAAACAGAGGTGAACTAATATAACAACACTACTTATGACAACACTAGTGTCATAAGGCATATTTGATTTAAAACGTCAACAAAACCGAGAACGACACCCATAAAGAGCACAGAGCTCCTGGGACTGTGCGCCCTATACTGACCCTGAGGAGAAGAAACTGAGTTGAATAGTCTGTTTTTGGGTCTCATGAAATTCAAATAAATTATTTTAGATGTTACTATCAGTATTGTTAGTTTTTAGGATATCAATAAGCTAATGCGCACAAAAACAATGACAGTTTGTATTTAGAAAAGAAAACACATAGACATGTAAAGCTCACTTCCGCCTAAATGAATTAACCTCAAATCAGTTCCTCATCAAATCTTGACCAATCAAATGCTCTCTAGTGTCTGACATGTCCCGCCCCCTTCAAGGTGCTTTAAATTTTATGGGCTTGAGCTCAACCACTCTTATCGACAGAGAAGCGATTAAAAACAAAACTCTACTGGCTGTTTTTTAAAAGGGAAGAAGCTACACTATATTCCACTCTCTCTTTATCTTTTTGTTGAGACTACGTCAAACATTGAATAAAAATTGAAATTTCAAAGCACTTCACAGGACTTCTAATGTCTGCACAAGTATTTTCGTAGCTTGATAATATTGTGATTGAATCACTGAAGGCGAATGGTCTGTTTTGAGGATGTTTTTAGTATTTGTCTGGAATTTGAACGATTTGGGACCATTGCTGTCTATGGAGGATGAAAGAGCTCCAGGATTTCATCTAAAGTTTCTTAATTTGTTTTGAAGGGGAAAATAAGTTTTTGGGGGTTTCGAACGACATAAGACATTTAGTTTTATTTTATTTTAACAACATAATGGTGAGTAATTAATAACTGAATATTCATGTTTAGGTGAACACTAACAGCTCGAGAGAAAAAATCAGTTTGACAACATACAGGCACACACATTCTCAAAACACATGCAAATGCAGAAATATTCATTTTCCTTCGGCTTAGTTCGTTATTTATCAGGGGTCGCTACTGCGAACTGCCAACTTTTCCAGCACATGTTTTACGCAGCTGATGTCCTTGCAGCTGCAACTCACCACTGGGAAACACCCATACACTCATTCACACACATACAATACGGCCAATTTAGTTAATTCAGTTCACCTATAGTGCATGTCTTTGGACTGTGGGGGAAACTAGAGCACCCGAAGGAAACCCACGCCAACACCGGGAGAACATGCAATAGAGAAACAAATGAATACAAATTATTCATCGCAATTAGCGCAGACCACAATACAAGTGAACTTGACTGCTGTTTAGGTAATTAATAAGTGAAATGAGCTGTTCACATTAATAATGATTATTGTGTGTCTCACAGCTATAGGCTCTTCGCACGTCGTCTGTAAGATGTCATTTCACACCAGCGCTCCTTCAAGAAAACAAGACTTCTACCAGATTTTAGGAGTTCCTCGCTCGGCAACGCAGAAAGAGATCAAGAAAGCTTATTACCAGGTATGCAAAGCAGTTGCAAGGCAAAACAAAATGAATGAATATTTAATGAATTATAGCATTGATCAAGTAGCTTTCAAATGTATATATGTTACTTAAATGAGCATGTCTAAACTGATTGAACAATGTAACTGTTATAAAAACATAGTTGAAGTCAGAATTATTAGCCCCCCTGTATGTTTTTTCCCAATTTCTGTTCAACGGAAATATTTTTTTCAACACATTTCTTGTCATAATAGTTTTAATAACTCATTTGTAATAACTGATTTCTTTTTTTTTTTCGCCATGATTACAGTACATAATATTTGACTAGATATTTTTTAAGGCACTAATATTCAGCTTAAAGCGGGGATGCCCACACTTTTTTGTATAAAGGGCCAAAAACCAAATATCATTGCCAGCCGTGGGCCGAAGGTGAATATACCTAATTATATTACATTAAAGTTGCCATGGACAATTTCCTAATTTATTTCCTAATATTTCAAAATAAATCGAAAACATTACTTTAAATTGTATTATCTAATGCAGTGTAAGTTTTTAAATGATAACATATTGCAATAAAAACACGATCACATTTATAACACAGTGGAGTTCAGTGTTGAAGACACTTGACAAGCAGAATCCGTCTTTGACTTGATTTGCTCACCAAAGTCTCTGCATTGTCGGGTGACAGTATGTAGGCTACATTTAAACAAACTCTGATTAATTTACACCGTTTCATTGAAACATTTATTTTCAGTTAGCTTTTAACAATAAACCAAACAAACAAAGGGTTACATTATATTTGGATTGACAATCTCTAAACCAATCAAAGGTTACCATGGGCCAGCTTTAGCCCGCAGGCCCTAGTTTGGGCATCTCTGGCTTAAAGTGACATTTCAAGGCCTAATTAGGTTAATTGGGGTAATTAGGCAAATCATTCTATAACTGGTTTGTTTTGTAGACAATCGAAAATAAACGTTGTTTAAGGGGGCTAATAATATTGACCTTATTTTTTTCTATTAAAAACTGCAGAATTAAAAAAAGTAAGATTTTCTCTAGAAGAAAAAATATTATAGGAAATACTGTGAAAAATTCCTTGCACTGTTAAACATCATTTGAAAAATATTTGAAAAAAATAATAAATTCATAAGAAGGCTAATAATTTAGACTCTTAATGTATATAAAGATTTTTCAGGAAATAAGAATGATGGATATATTAAATTTATTTAACACATTTCATCAATAATTTAATTATGTTTCAACACATTTAGTATTTGTTGCTAACATCATTTATAAAGTATTTAATAAAAGTGATCAAATACTTAATGTAATAATATATTTATTTATATTAGTATTTATTTATTATTATTTGTATAGTATTTATAACTTTTATTGTATTATTATTTATTGATAAATGAAATTATAAATCTACAGTTTACCATTTAAGCTAAACTTAAAAATAGTCATGTAATAATAGTATATAATAATAATAATAATAATAATTATTATTATTATTATTGTTATATAATAATAAAATAATATTCTTAATTATTATTATTAATAGTAGTTTATAATAATAATAATAGCCTTAATTATTAAACAGCAAGTATTATATAATTTCAAGGTTCTATCTGGGTTCTTAATAATTTTAAGATATTGAGCTTTAAAGTTTTTTGTATTCCATAGCAAACATTTGTAACATTTGTTTTTTTAATGAAGTCTTCAAATGTAAACAACTTCCCAAAAAACATTTCATAATGTAAATAAGTTGTCATTTAATAAGAATATGTCAATAAGTCGATTTTGACAAAAATGTCAGATAGAACCTCATAATTCTAATGTGACGATTTGTTATGAAAGCTTACATCAATATAGGATTTCATGTGTTGTATATGGTAAATTTATATAAAATGTAACCCTCTATCAAGCACTCTATTTATTTAGCACCTTTTAATGTTTGAAAATGAACCCTTCAGTGACTCCTTAATGATTTTCTCCTATTCAGATGGCCAAAAAGTATCACCCAGACACTAATAAAGAAGACCCTCAAGCTAAGGAAAAGTTTGCACAGCTAGCGGAAGCCTATGAGGTTTGAAGCGTTGTTGTTGTTTTTCTTGTTAGCAGTGTCTCCTGCTGGAATACTGAGTTGGTGTTTTTCTCATGTTTCCTCTTCAGGTTCTCAGTGACGAGGTAAAGAGGAAACAGTACGACACGTACGGTTCTGCAGGGTTTGATGCGGGTCGCGCCGGTGCGGGACATCAGCAGTATTGGGGTGGAGGGACCAGCATTGACCCGGAGGAGCTTTTCCGCAAGATTTTTGGCGAGTTTTCTGGCGCTCAGGGCTTTGGGGATTTCAACGCCATCTTCAATCAGCCACAAGAGGTATGAGATGCTTACTTCCAGAGATGACTAGTGGATTTTAATGTAACTGCAAACTGCGGCCAATCCAATTGGTCTATACTTTTGAATATTTAAAAATGTATTTATTTGATTTATTTATTAATTTTGAGTTTGTTCATTATTCATAAGATAATGAGATATAATTATACATTTTTTTGTTATTATTATCGCATTTTTTTAAATGTCCAGAAAATTTGATTTGTTTTTTTTTTTTTTTTTTATAAGTTTTTTAAAAAATATTGTTATTTCCCTTAATTTCCCTGTAATTTATTTTTCTCTCAAAACCCCTATACCCCCAAATACCTTTACATTTTAAAACATTAAAACTTTTTTTGTTGTTGTTTATTTGAAACTTTTCAAGGGAAAAGTAGATCAAAAATATAAAAACATAATTTGGGAGGGAGAAAATATAACTACTTTTATTTTATTCCCCATTTTCCCCACAATAAGTGTTTTATGCTCAATTTAAATCAATGTAAATTTCTAAATATTTAAATGTAGTAAAATTATTAAATTGTTTCTTTAAATAATAATAAATATTATGGTTATTATTATTATTATTAATAATAATAATAATAATAATAACAAAAACTATAATATTAATAATTGTAGTAATTGGTTTTAGGTAGTAAATAAAATCACATTTTAGGGAAAACAAAATGCTATTTAATAATGGGGAAAAAATGTTAACTGATTTAATATCATGTGCATAATAGTTTCAGAATTACGATGTCTATTCACAATAGTCGTATAACAGGAGACTCAAGATCTAGAAAAGGAAAAACTAAATATTGCTATGTGCTTTTTTTCCTATTGTCAAGCCCTAATTTGACTTCGTTACTATTTTTGATTTGAGCCGTATTTTATTGTCACTTCTAATTTGCCAGATTGTGATTTCGGCTTAAGCAATTGTGCCATACTTGATTTTATAATTCAATTCCCTCATCATAATTCAAATCCCATCATTTGCCGATCCCACTCTCCACTAGGGCTGTGCAATTAATCGATAATACGGTTTCGATTTCGATTTTGAATTCTAGCAATTATGAAAAACCATTAATCAAGATAAACGATAATTGCATCATATACTGCCCCCTTTCCAGTTGTACACATTTGTAGCTCTGCGAAGCTCAGTTCCACGTAAATATGACTATGTTTGCAGCACGGGATGCGCATCATTCAATGATTTACGTTCAAATCATTGATAATTTAAAAAGCGCGAAAGAGTACATACTGTTGTGTGTGTGTATAAATCTAGCCGAAATAAAAACAAATCAGCTTTTCTCCAGAAGAAAAAATATTATAGGAAATACTGTGAAAAATTTCTCTGTTAAACATCATTTAGGAAATTTTTCTATTAAAAAAAAAAATTCACAGAAGGGCGAATAATTTTGACTTTAACTGATAATCGTTTTGAATAATCGTGATTTACAATCGTGATTATGATTTTTCCCATAATCGAGCAGCCCTACTCTCCACCATAGTTTTAATGTCATATCACCAGGGCCAGACGGAATCTGCGGATGTTTTTTGCTATTTCTGTGTGTGCGCCGCACTTAGCCTCGGACAGGCGCGGAGAAGAGCAGAGCACACACATCTAACGCCATCTTAATGTGAGCACTTTAATGATCAAATACATGCACATTTGTGTCAGAGCGCTGTGTTTAATAATTATTCATATTAACCCTCATTTGTGTAACAAACAAACAAGTTGAGAATTAAAAGACATGTGAAAGAGAAACCATATCAGAGCCGCACTATTCTTAAAGTGACAGCGCGCAATAATCCTGCTGCCGCCTGTTTTTAATATTAATCAAATGACAAAAGGAGAAAATCGCTCACTGCTCTTGACTGAAGGACTTTTGTAGCTTAAGTTTTTTTTCTTACAGTGAAGATGCTTAGCATAATTTAAACAAATTTAAACTGATTTCTTTTATCTCTGCTATGATGACAGTACATTATATTTTACTAGATATTTTTCAAGAGACTAGTATTCAGCTTTAAGTTACATTTCAAAGGCCTAATTATTGTGATTAGGCAGGTCATTGTATAACAGTAGTTTCCTCTGCAGACAATCAAAATATTTCTTAAAGTGGCTAATAATATTGAGCTATTAAAATGGGTTTCAAAATATTCAAACCTGCTTTAAATCTAGCCGAAATAAAAACAAATCAGCCTTTCTCCAGAAGAAAAAATATTATAGGAAATACTGTGGAAAAATTCCTTTGTTAAACATCATTTAGGAAATATTTCCATAAAAAAAAAATTCACAGAAGGGCGAATAATTTTGACTTCAACTAATAATCGTTTTGAATAATCGTGATTTACAATTATGACCAAAATAATCGTGATTATGATTTTTCCCATAATCGAGCAGCCCTACTCTCCACCATAGTTTTAATGTCATATCACCAGGGCCAGACGGAATCTGCGGAAGTTTTTTGCTATTTCTGCAGAGAATTTTGGTAAAAATCTGCGGATTTCTGCGGAATTACTTTGGGAGTATCCAGCGGAGTATCATGACTAAAACTTTAATATATTGAATAAAAAGTAATAAATTATTTCAGATTTACACATTTAGGCATTAAACAGAAAACAGAATTAATAATTGGGCTAAAAATCTGCAGAAATCTGCGGAATTCTGTGGAAAATCTGCGGAATTCTGCGCGTGCAGATTCCGTGTGGGCCTACATATCACTACTGTCCTGTCTGCAAACCAAAAAACAATGAAAAGGGCCCAAAAAAATCGATGCAGTTCATTTAAATCCATATTTCCGACTGTGAGCGTTTTTTGTGGAAATCGTAAATCTCTAGATTGTGCATAACCCTTGTTGTGTTTGCTAACAGTATGTGATGGAGCTGACATTCGCTCAGGCTGCTAAAGGAGTGAATAAGGAGATCACAGTGAACATCGAGGGCACGTGTCAGCGGTGTGACGGCAGAGGACATGAGCCTGGGTCTAAAGTCCAGCACTGCGGAAATTGTAATGGCACCGGCATGGTGAGTAAGGCTGTCAAAAAACATACTTGTCGAATTTGTGGAAAAAAGACGTATTTGAATACAAAAACCCGTTGTTGAATTGTTGGTGCGTCTGTCACTGTAGGAGACGGTGAACACGGGACCCTTCGTGATGCGCTCCACCTGCCGGCGCTGTGGAGGGAGAGGTTCGGTCATCACATCACCCTGTATCGCCTGTCGAGGGACGGGACAAACCAAACAAAGGAAAACCGTCACGGTGCCCGTTCCTGCTGGTGGGTTCACTGGGGTTATCGATGTTGAAGTGAGACTGACTTCAGTGAATGGGATTGTTGAGTTTTGATGTTTTGTTCTCGACTGTTTTACAGGTATTGAGGATGGGCAGACGGTGCGAATGCCTGTTGGGAAGAAAGAGATTTTCATTACGTTCAAAGTGAGTACATTAGTGCATCAACTGAACCTTAACCCGCTTGCAGTTGTAGTGAGGATTTCTGTTGGGTCTTAAAAACTAAAGAAATAAAAAATTATTTCTAAACTAGAAAAATGATAGGCTTCAAAAAGTATTGAATTTACTGAAGCATTGTGTTTCTAGTAGGGAAGCTCAAAATAATCAATTAACCGTTAACCAGAGGGTGCGTTTGTAACCGATTAACGGTATCAGTTAAACGATTAAAAATTATATTTTATATATTTTTAGTTTTGCTGCATAAGGGGCCGATCGAATGCGTTAAGAGGGGCATCTTTTGAATGGTTTACTAAAAGCCGCAATTGGTTTGCACACGGCTCATCCCAGAGCAGCAGTTTGTACTAGTGCTTGCTTTTAAGTTATCCAGAGCTGTATGAATTTACAAAATCTTGAATATCACAACAGTATTAAATATTACAATTGTAACAACATTGACAGCAACACTCATGCATAATCGATAACGTGTGACCACACAAGCCTACAGACATATTTGCCAAAGAAGCAAAATGGAAGAAGAATATTGCTGTTTGATACAGACGAGTTTGCTGATGGTCTCTGCGTCATAAACGCAACAAATAGTCTTTAGTTTTCATTTTACAGCTTATAAAGCATATATGCAAATAAATGCAATATCACATTTAAACAACAAAACTGTTGTTTACATATGCGCGCGTTGTTGTTGTTGTTTTTCATCACGCAGCGCGCGCACTTGAACTGCTAGAGAGAGAGGAAACCATGTATCAAGACATAGCCTAATCTTTAAAATAATGATTCTATTAAAAATGTAAAAAGGTTTTTTAATATAATAATAACAGCGGGGCATTTAATAAATGCATATTTTCCGTGGAGCGAGCGAATTGATGAAGTCTGCTATTTTTATTTGACGGAAGAAAAAAACATGATTGAAAAAAACAAAAAAAAAACAGCCTATGCCGGTTCTTAAAAAGGATCAGTCCGTGTGTTCGTTTTGTTCTCTAACTAATGTTAAAATGCAATATGTAATGTGTCAGACACAAAATAGACACGTCAATTTGTTTAAAAAAATTTAATGATAATTTAATAGTAATCTGACCAGTTAATCGTTTATAACCGATTAGCGAGCGGCGGTTGTCGGTTAGCAAAATTAATCGAAATGAGCATCCCTAGTTTCCAGGCCCTAAATAAGTTTAAACAGGTCTTGATTTAATCAACCTAATTTCTGAACTCTTACCCCTGTTTTTATTGAAGCCCTTCAAGTATTATGTCTAAAACCACCTTGAACCGCCTGCTTTCTCTAGTAGCAGTCGTCATCCAGTCAGGAGCTAGCTCTAATAGTGGCTGTCATCCTTTCAGATGCTAGCTCGAGTAGTGGTAGTCATCCAATGATCATCCATAGACTTTATTAATCCCCGGAGGGAAATTCACATGTCACAGCAGAGCTCTCCATACTAAAAATGGGTAAATAAGTTACATACATATAAAAACAATAATAAGATTACATTTCATACTGCAAACCTTGGTTCCAAAAACAACGAGTAAACACTTGTATATATCTAATATCTAATTCAAGTTCAGCACAATTCATCGGGTATGACTTTGGTTATACAATCTGATCACTGTTGGTAAAAAAGACTTCCTGTATCTTTCTCTGTAGCACCGGGGTTGAATTAATCTTGTGCTAAAAGAGCTTGCACACGCTTGGACTGTATCAAAAAGGGGATGACTGTCGTGGTTCATTATACAACTTTAATCACCACTTTTACCACATTTAATCAAGAGCTTGCTCTAGTAGCAGCCGTCATCTAGTCAGGACCTAGCTTTAGTAGCAGCTGTCATCCAATTGGGACCTAGCTTTAGTAGCAGCCTTCGTCCAATCAGGTGCTAGCTCTAGTAACGACCGTCATCTAATCCAGAGCTTGCTTTAGTAGCGGCTGTCATCTAGTCAGGAGCTAGCTCTAGCTGCAGCCATCATCCAATCAAGAGCTTGCTCTAGTAGTGGCTGTCATCCAGTCAGGAGCTAATTCTAATGGCTGCCATCATCCAATCAAGAGCTTGCTCTAGTAGCAGCCATCATTCAATCAAGTGCTTGCTCTAGTAATGCCTATCATCTAGTTGCGGCCATCATCCAGTGAGCTAGCTCTAGTAGCGGCCGTCATTCAGTCAGAAGCTAGCTCTAGCTGCGGCCATCATCCAATCAAGAGCTTGCTCTAGTAACGAACGTCATCTATTAGCGGCCGTCATCCGGTCAGGAGCTAGCTCTGGTAGCGGCAGTCATTCGGTCAGGAGTTAGCTCTAGCAGCGGCCATCATCCAATCAAGAGCTTGCTCTAGTAGCGGCAGATATCTATTAGCGGCCGTCATCCAGTCAGGAGCTAATTCTAGTAGTGGCCGTCATCCAATCAGGAGCTAGCTCTAGTAGCGGCCGTCATTCAGTCAGAAGCTAGCTCTAGCAGCGGCCATCATCCAATCAAGAGCTTGCTCTAGTAGCGGCAGATATCTATTAGCGGCCGTCATCCAGTCAGGAGCTAATTCTAGTAGTGGCCGTCATCCAATCAGGAGCTAGCTCTAGTAGCGGCCGTCATTCAGTCAGAAGCTAGCTCTAGCTGCGGCCATCATCCAATCAAGAGCTTGCTCTAATAACGAACGTCATCTATTAGCGGCCGTCATCCGGTCAGGAGCTAGCTCTGGTAGCGGCAGTCATTCGGTCAGGAGTTAGCTCTAGCAGTGGCCATCATCCAATCAAGAGCTTGCTCTAGTAGCGGCAGATATCTATTAGCGGCCGTCATCCAGTCAGGAGCTAATTCTAGTAGTGGCCGTCATCCAATCAGGAGCTAGCTCTAGTAGCGGCCGTCATTCGGTCAGGAGTTAGCTCTAGCAGTGGCCATCAAATTACGGGCATTTATTGCAATTTACTCACGCAAGACGCATCCTGTATGAACGACCAGTAATATTTGTAATTGAATATAGTGTAATATTCAGCAGCATTCTGTGCTGTCGCCTGCTATGAATGTGTAATTTCAGATCTCACTCATCCAGCATAACTGTGTCTGTGCTCTCAGGTCCAGAAGAGTCCGATCTTCAGGAGAGACGGTGCTGACATTCACTCTGACGTCATGATCTCTGTGGCTCAGGCCATCCTGGGTGGCACCATCAGAGCGCAAGGACTTTACGAGACCATCAATCTCTCGGTGAGACATCCTGCGCAATAAACACACACTGTGTCCAAAATCTAATTCTGTATTCATCTTATACTTGAGGTATGAGCGGGCGCAGCCATTGTAATCTTTTTGGTCCGAGACTTCTGCTCTCATTCACTTCCATTGATTTTTAGACATTAAAAACAGCTGCTTGTGCTGCTTGTTGTTGAAGTTTTGAGAGAGCGAATCTCTCATTAGGACAGGGCCTTGCCACAACATCCTAGTGGTTTTAGAGTAGCAGATCTAAAGTCATCTAAAATAACAGATTTGTTTCATCAGCATTCTTAATTACGTTTCTTTCCTAGTGTATAGTATGGAAGTTGGCATATTTGAGCAGTCATTTATTGTGATGACAGGTTAATATAGTTTTTTTGTTCTCATTGAATCTTATAGATCCCAGTTGGAACCCAAACTGACCAGAGGATCCGGCTGTCTGGTAAAGGTATACCACGGGTCAGCGGATATGGTTACGGTGACCACTACGTCCACATCAAGATCAAAATACCCAAGTAAGAATTCTTGCGCATATTTTTATAATTTATTTAAGTATTTATTTTTATAGCGGATTGCAAATTTTAAGCAGATGAGCAGATTCCAATTTTTTTTTTTTTTACAGCAGTAAATAAGATATTTAAAATAGAACTGCATTATCAAGGTGTTAATCGCATTGAATTTACAGTTATTGCAATCTTGAGGAAACTACTGCACTGTACTCAAGATCCACATTAAACGCTTCACGCATTAACCTGGTCTTTAAATTAGCTAGACTTTAAATTAGATTGTATCTTTTCAAAAAAAATAAACACAATGATCTGACTGAAATGATGCTACATGAAAAAGTACCTGTACAATAGAAAAACAGTAAAATGAACAAAAATGCTGATTCACTCTCTGCCAGTAGATGGCGCTTGCATCTCTATTATTTTGATTGGGATATCTCGCTCATTTTAAAGTTGTTGTGAAATGTTCATTTTTATAGATCTAGCCTTATGAATCAAATACATTTTTATTAAAGATGTGCTGAATTTTAAACTGTAAAAATGTAAACAAAACAAAGGGAAATGCCAGAGAGAAACATGGATAAAAACGGGAACTGAAAGAAAGGCTATGATATGCTGTATCGTCAAGCAGTTTCCAGCTTACTGGTGAATCTGCTTTCACATTGCATACAGAAAGCACTGTGCTATGAAACCCATTCATTTCAATGTGTTGTGCCACACAAGGGCAGTTTATTGATTTGTCAGTCCAAATATCTCAGTATTCCGCTCATGAACTGCACATCGTAGGGGGATGAATAAAAGAATTAGTGAATGGCAGAGGTGGCTTGTTGCTTGTGAGTTTGTATCTACCGTCGTTTGTTTGCACAGATAGTGTGAGAAATGTACTGCAGTTTAATTTGTTGCAAAATTAAAAACAAAACGGCCAAAATCACATATGGTGCGATGATGAACACAAACTGTTGTTGTGTGAAATGCCGGAGGAAACTAGCGTCGAATGCTGACGTAATGGCGTTAATCGAACTATGTAAAGCAGGAACATGAAGTGAACTTAAAAAAAGCTACTCATGTAAACACCTTAATCATATTATTGTTTTATTCAGATAAAAACAAGGAATTTGATCACTGATGTCCAAGTATACGCAGTCAGTGTTACAAGACTTGTCGATTAAGTTGTTTTGCATACATTTTACAATGACATTTGTGTGTGTGTGTTGTCAGGATGTTGACGGACCGACAGCGAGCACTTATGATGAGCTATGCGGAGGACGAGTCTGATGTGGAGGGAACCGTCAACGGAGTGACCAGCACCACTGCAGGTACTGCTAGTTTAGTACAGTAGAGCAGTTGAACCCTGTTCCTGAAGGCACTCCAACAGTACACATTAGAGCTGAAGATCTTTTGGTCGAGTCAGGCTTGGCTTGTAACAGTCATGTGATGCGATTAGCGCGAGAAAGTAATTAAACCGTTTGTTACAACGGTTGTTGCAAACCCTGCAAAGGTGAAACAAAAGATGACGGAGAAGTCAAAAAGAACGAATTTTGACTGCGGTCAGGCCAGCCACCAGTTCAGAAAGAACCTGTCATTCTAGCCGCAAAGGTATTTCGGCGGTCACTCATACACTGGGTATTAGAGCGGTAAACAGCACAGCAAGCTGACAGGGAAGATGAGGAGGCCACTCGCTACATTGAATCCGCTGTCATTGAAAATTAAATGGACGTTCTGGGTTGGTAAAAGATGAACAAACAATAATAGCCCATTCAAAACATGCTAAATTAGCCAGATCAGAATTATGCATCTCGGCCTGTAGCAGCAGCAGCAGTGAAAGGGTGTTCAGTGCTGCTGGACGCACCATCCTGAGCACAGGACTGAGCTAAAGCCAATTTACAGTGGATTCAATAATGTTCCTCCACAAAAACACTTAGCCTAATCTTGGTGAGTAAAGTTTTTTTTTATTAAAAAATAAATATTAATTAAACAATAAAATCATAAGGTAGACAGAGTATACAGGCTAATGTTGGCTTTAGGCTATTCTTTTAATATTCAGCTTCGCCGTCGCCTTAATGCCAGATTGTGAAGAGAAGTGCCATTATCTTAATTTCGTTATTGCCAAATTTAGAATTTATTTTAATTTAATTTGTTAGGAAAGACTTATTTTTATTGGTGTGTTGGCCAATTTAAAGGCTAAGCGTATGTACCTAGAGTGCTGAGATGTTACGATGTTACAGAGGACTTATTTTATTTCTTTGTTTCAACTTCCAAGTGGTCTACAGCCTACGTTTGTTACTAATAAATTGTTAAAACATATAAATGACTCATTCTTGACGGCAAAAGAGTTGTGTGCCTGTGCACATTTTGAATAATGTTGGGTTATTAACGGGTTCGGGCTTTATAAAGCTGTCAATCAAATGTACCTGTCGGCTCGGGACGACTTCTGTAGGCCTCGGGCCCTATCGGGTGTAACTTTTATGGCCCGATTAAAGCTCTAGTACACATTATCAACCTCATCGTAATTACACTTGAATCAACTCATCAGAACATTAGAAGAGACTCCAAAACCTTAAATGAATGAGTCAGATAAGGGAGACATCCAAACTATGTACTGTTGGTTTCCCTCCAGGAACAGAGTAGGGAACTACTGCAGTAGAGTATGGGGTGGTCATGCTAACAGGTTAAACCAGTACCTTTCTCTGTCCAGGAGGGGGCAGTAATCAGACTGGGACAGGGCACACAGAGAAAGACGAGGGCATTTTCTCCAAATTAAAGAAAATGTTTAGCTCCTCCTGACAGCCACAAACCAGGTAGGATGATACGACTCTCTGAAAAGCTTAATGTTTTAGCAAAAAAATAAATAAGTAACTAGATACAAAGTAACACATGGAACTAAAAAAAGATAAACATTGAAAACGTAAACAAATATAGAATAGAAAAACCTGCATAACTACAAAAATATCTGGCAATATTAAAAACACGATTTTCAATAATAATTTTATTGCTTTCAATAAAAAAAAAAAAATATATATATATATATATATATATATATATATATATATATATATATATATATAAAACTTGAATAAATATATCCAGCAGGCACAGGGCATGAATGACATCACATTGACATTGTACCCCAATACCCGTTTGGAAATGAAAATCCTGTTGAGGTCAGAACTCAACGTCAGGCCGACGTCAAGATCCAACCTAAACTTAACCATTTGATACATAAATGTCAGTATTTGACATCAATATGACATTGGTTTAAGATGTTGGCTGGACATTGGATTTTGGTCACTTTCCAACACAACCTAAAATCAACCAAATATCAACATCTAATGATGTTAAAGCTTGACGTTATGTGGATGTTACCGATATGACATATATCAGATGTTGGATTGTGGTTGCTATAAACTGATGAATAAATGTCAGTATTTCACGTCAATATGACGTTGGTTTAAGATGTTGGCTCTGTTGGATTATGGTCACTTTCCAACACAACCTAAAATCAACTTCACTTGACGCCGTTATTGGACATTAAAATAACGTTGTTCTTAGACGCTAGCTACACATTGAATTCTGGTGACCTGACGTCACTACCTAATTCTAACCTAAAATAACGTCTTATGATGTTGTTTGCCTGCTGGGTACTTCATAATATTTTCAGCTATGTTTAAAACCTGACTTTTAAGGTTTAGCATCTGGTTTGTGGCTGTTTGCGAACCTAGCAGTTTAAAAGTAATAATTTTTTGGGGTTGCACAATGTCAAACAGAAATAACTGGATCAAGGTTATATAATCAGCTGTGTGTTCTGTTCCATTTTTTTTTTTATGTTAGAAATTATATGATTATAATTAATGAAAATGACTGTAAAAAGTCCAGTAATTGATTAAGATTTTTATTAAAAAAAAAATGAAAATGGCTTAAATAAATGATAAACTTCAGGAAGAAACTTGCCTTTTCAGATAGTGTTTTTTTTATATGAGGGTGATTATTTATATTTGTGCGCATATATCTATTTGTGTGGGTATGTATTTGTCATTCTGCTGATAACGGGATATTACAATATTTACACAGTGGTTCTCAAAGTGGGGGTCGGGACCGCCTGGGGGGTCGCGGGACAATGACAAGGGGTCGCTTGGTGATATCCAAAACTCAAATAAATTTTATTAAACTATTAGAATTACCATATTTTATTCATAACCGACAGAATATAGTTAATAGTTGCATTAAAGAAACAACAACATAAAAATAACAATCAGCCATCAGCCTTTAATTTTAAAAGCAAAATGTAATTTAATCCATAAATGACTTTAAAAAACATTATATGGCTTATAGACTGTTGCATTTTTGTGTTGTCAATAAGCTCATGTTTATATTTGCCTATAGTTGTGTCTGCAACGTTTACATATTTACAGTACAACCACCTTGAAAAATGGGGGTCGCGAGCCACTAATATGATTATTTTTGGGGTCACGGGCTGAAAAGTTTGGGAACTCCTGTATTTACATACAACATAAACTGATTCCCAACATTCATCATTTTATATATGTCATGTGTCTTTATGTTGACCATATATCTGAGTTTGGTTTTTAAAATTTCTGATTAGTTATTTTGTTATCTAGAGCAAAGATGCCCAAACTTAGGTCCGTGGGCCGAGGTTGGCCCATGGTAACTTTTGATTTGGCCAGCCATGCCATCTAAGAGATGGTCATTTCTAATTTAACATAAACTTGATTTTATTTGTTTGGTTTATTGCTTGGCTAAATGTATCTGCAAATAAATCAAATTTTAGACAATGCAGAAAACATCAGGGAGAGCATATCAAGACAAAAACAGATGCTCCATTCAACTCCATTCTGTTATAATGGGATTGGTTTTAATATAATAAGTTTATTATAAAGTATAATTAACTGAACTTTAACGTGGCTCAGTGGTTAGAACTGTCGGCTCACAGCAAGAATGTTGTTGGTTCGAGTCCCGGCTGGGTCAGTAAAACATATGCTGGATAAGTTGGCGGTTCATTTCACTGTGGCGACCCCTGATGAATAAAGACACTAAGCAGAGAAATGAATGTAGGGAAATGAATGAATACTTACCTTTGGCCCACCATCCTCAATCAAGTTTGGTTTTTGGCTCTTCCTAAAAAAACGTTTGGGCACCCCCTGATCTAAATCATTTTAAAGTTTTACTAATATTTTTATTTAGACTTTATTATTATTTATATTTATATTCATTTTGAAATAAAGTAGCTTTTTTATTAGCTTATCTTATAAGAAATGTGTTTATAACAAAAGAGTTGCATCTGAATTCTATATACAAAGTTAAAAATACAAGTTTAAAAATGTTTTGTTTGTTTGCTATCAACTGTATATTATCTCAACTATAATAATCATCTTGATCGAGTGGATTTTATAGGTTATTCACTTCTGTTTGTGTTTACAGGTAAAAGATCGGCTGGAAACTGAGAGACTTTGCCTTGCTAGTGGAGATTGAGAATTCACTGCAAACATGATGGACTTACAACACCGGAGTCTAACTCGGTTCCTGGAGAGCTGCAGCTCTGCAGAGTTTAGTTTCAGCCCTGCTTCAGCACACCTATCTGTGGGTATCAAACAAGCCTAAAGCACTCGTTAGTTGGATCAGGTGTGTTAAATTAGGGTTGGAACTAAACTGTGCAGAGCTGCGGCTGTCCAGGAATTGAGTTTGACACCCCTGACTTACAAGAAGTAACATGAACAGCATTGAATTCATCTGGAAAACGCCTCAGATACTACACAGAATGAAGAGCTCTGGACATACAATTGACTTTTAAGAGCAGATCATTGAGGATTTTGATAAACGCACACATGTACACTCTCAGAAATAAAAGTACGCGAGGTGTCACTGGGGTGGTACCTTTTTGAAGGGAACACATTTGTATCCAAAGGGTGAATATTGGTACCTTAAAAGTATATGTTAGTACCTATACATTTTAAGAGGAACACTTTTTTACTACTTGGGTACTATTGTACATTTGAGATGTTAAAAGGGACCTTTTAGATACAAGTTTGAACATTTTTGAAAAGGTACCACGTACCTTTATTTCTGAAAGTGTACAGTCTTACCTCAACTTTGTGTTATCAGCCTTAGCACCCACAGCAATGCTATTTCTTGGCTTTGGTCGGTAATTTTATGTTAAGGTTTAACACAGTCAGTTCTATTTTCAGACATTGGAAGTGGATTGACTTCAGTAGAATTATTCATTGGACATTAATGAAGCTCATTGTTCAAGATCGACTTCAGTAGAATTATTCATTGGACATTAATGAAGCTCATTGTTCAAGATCTTTGTTTTGTGTTAAAAGGCTACATCCGTCTGCTTTAGTTGCAGTGTAAATAAACAACTGTTAATATTAAATCATTTTAATGTGTTGTAGAGATCAATATGTAATAATTAAAATCTCTGTGACAACTGTACATGATGTTTTGTGTGTGTTTTTGTGACACAAATCTGTATAATAGGGTTGTTGCGATACCATTAATTAATATTACGATACGATACCAGCTGAAGTATCGAGATACCAAGTAGTATTGCGATACTGTAATTCATAACTCCAAACTATGAAATAAAGAAAATGGTCAGAAATACTATATTTTATGTGTTATAATAGGCCTACTTGAATTGAATTAATAATTCCCTTATAATTTAAACAAGTATTTGCACGTCACCTCAACTAAAATGTATTCGTTCTTATTTTTTGTAGATAACTGACACACGAAAATTGCTTTAAAATAAAGATACAAATTATACCAAATAAAATTTGCTCCAAAAATAGCATTTTTTCCCCCAACAAAATTAGGCTTTAAGAAGTGATCAAAAATTCAGTTTCAATGTTTCCAGTATCTATTGTTTTTTTCCAGTCTTATCAGGGAAGTAATTCAAAATTTTACTTTGTGAGTCGTTAGTTTGTCGCAGTTGTTTTAGCTACTAAATCATGTTGACAGGAGCAGAAATGAACTGATTCAGATTCGATCTAAAGCGTCAGAAAACGTGCAATGGGCTACCATTAAATGTGTGAATTATACGCATTTAATACATTTTAGTGCTTTTTCAATGTGCAGCATTATGTATTTAACAGATAGACCATTAAAGACGATACTACCACTTACAAACTACAGTGGCACCAACAGTATTTTAGAGTCATAGTATCACGATACTACCATAGTACCAGTAAACTGTGCAACCCTACTGTTTAATGACAGGCATGACACGGGTATTAAAAGAAGGTGAAAAATTAAGACACTGCTGATGTCCTCCTTTCTCAAAAAGCTTGTAAATTAGACAGAAGATTTTATTTATTTTTTTCAGATGGTAAAATTGTACAGTTTCCTGTCAGGTTTAGGTTTAGGGTGGAATTTGGGCTGTGGTGGAAAGAGTGTTGCACAATCATACTCAAGTAAAAGTACCATTAATTGCCCAATAATGTAGTGCAAGTAGAGTAAAAGTATCTGTTGTAAATATTTATTTAAAATATGAGTAAAAAGTAGCCCCTTTAAAAGAACTCATAAGCAGTGTTGGGGAGGTTACTTTAGAAATGTAATAGACTACAGATTACAAATAACCCTATTTAAAATGTAATAAGTTACACCACTTTTCAATTACTTTATAAAAGTAAAGTAACTAATTACATTTTATTACTTTTAAGTTTCTAATGGACATTTTCAACTAAATAATTTTTAAGCATTTATACAGAGGACATGCTCCCCTCAGGATTTACACCTGTGGGTGCGCCGCAAGTAAAAGCATCAGAGTAGCACCGCTTTAATAAATGGCCTTAACAGACGGCATATCAAAAACAGGTAAAGCACCAGATTAATATTATCCAACATATCCCAGATGTTTAAAGAACATTTTTAGATGTTACCCCATTTGTAATCTTTAACATTTAATTACACAATTTTCCTCAGTAACTGTAACTAATTAACTTTTATTTTATAATTAAATTACGGAACACCGTTACATGTAACTAGTTACTCCCCAACACTGCTCATGAGTAGTGAGTATTACGCTGTGAAAAGCTGATGAACTTACAAGCAGCTTGTGCAGGGATGTGTAAACGTAATATCCTGTTGTGCATTTAGTAATCTTCCTATATTTGTTCCTTTCTTCCTTACATTGTTTGTTCATTCTGTCCTTCCTTCATTCATCCATTTGTTCATTCCTTCATTTGAACCTCTGTTCATTCATTCATTTGTTCCCTCCTTCTTTAATTTGTTCAGTCCTTCCTTGAATCCTTCCTTCATATTGGATCCTTCCGTCCTTCTTTCCATTCCTTGTTCGGCCCTTCCTTAATTCGGCCCTTCCTTCCATTCTTCATTTGTTCCATTTAGTGATTGTTTCAGCTGTTTGATTTTAGTCATCAGTCGACATCCTTTGGACATCTTGGACATTTTTAATGCTTTCAAAAGGTTTGCTGCATTTATAAAGCGCCAATGTCTTGAAGTTGTACCGTATGCGATTTTACTTTCCATGTGTAATTTGAATGGACAGGAATCACAGGACTGATTTTTCTACATTAGCCAATGACCATAGACAAGAAAGAAATAAAGTAGTGACTGCAGGTTGAAGGAAAGTAGTGGAGTAAAAGTTACAGCGCAAAAAATGTACTCAAGGGAAAGTAAAAGTACACATTTTTAAAATTACTTAGTAAATTATAATTCCAGAGAAAAAAATAATCATTTACAGTAATTGGAGTTTTGTTATTTTACACCACTGCGTTTGGGAAATATTACAGTTTGTACAGTATAAAAACAATGGAAACCGATGGAATGTCCCCACAATTCAGTGTGTGTGTGTGACAATGCTATACTTTTTTAACCACAGAATACAAATTTTGTTTAACTGGGAGATGTTGTTTCTCCCTTTAAATGTAAATACAACTTATATAAAGCGAAATATGTCTATTTAAATAATATTTAGGTTATAGACCATTTCAGTGTGGTTATGTCATTGGCCCATGAACATGAACATTCCTGCTCGCTAAAAACTATTTCATATCTTTAACAAGAGGCAATTAAATCGTAACTTGATGTTAAAACAGCTATCATGACATTATTTATCAACATATGGCTCTTTTTGAATTCTCGGAGGGTAGAGAAATTGAAAATGCAAAATAGGAAATACGTTGGGACCATTGTTTTTGTTTAACGTTACATCCCTCAAAATGGTCTACGTTAGTGTTATTAACATGATAATATTTTACTTTTCTGAAAACATCACTTAAGAGAAATGACAATATCGTCAAGTACAGAAACAGAAATAGTGTTTTGCTTGTAAAGTCACATTGTAAATGTTTGTTTACTTCATTTTATTATTATAATTTACCATTATGGACGCCAAGCAAACGATGCCTTATGCGTTTCATTAAAAAAAGGATGAAATAAAAATGAAAAGATGACAGGATTATTACAGTTAAATAAAACTAAAATTGAAGTCTTAAGTCTGAGTTGGGGACAAAACTCCACGAGGTAACTTACGTTAAGTTAATCAAAAGTGACTAACAAGAAGATAACACATGATGTTCGTATCAAATATTACTTACCAACCTTCTCTGAAGTTTTTACTTCTTTCACAACGATATGTTCTGTGTCTGGAAGGAACGTTGGAAGAAATGAATGAAAACACGTTACAGGCGAAGATTTCTTTCATGTCGACACGAATCAAAACGGTTAACCTGGTAAAATGTTTGGAGATGTTTACGTGTGCTAACGTTAGCTGCTAAATTAGCAGAATCCAAAAAGCACGCCAATAAGCAAATGTTGCCAAGGTAACAAGTGTCATTCAGATTATAAGATGTTTCGTTTTTTAATAAATAAATAATAATTGTAACTTACAATTTTCTTAGATTACTTTTAGTTTATAAATGCTATAACTAATTAACAGAGTATAAAAAGGGGTAGCCTAAACAGACAAAAATAAATAAATAAATCAGTTTGTGGGCTTTGATAACTAATTTAGACCAGCGTTGTCCAAACTTTTTCTTATAAAGCGCCAAAAAAAGCAAACTTGATTGAGGGCTGTGGGCCGAAGTTACACTGTATTACATTTGACATGGTTAATTTCCTAATTTATTTGCGTATTATTTTTAAAAGAACTAAACCCGTTCATTTAAAACATTAAATAATGATGCAGTATAGTTAATGTTTAATAACGAACTCATTATAGTGAAAACACAATCCCATTTATAACACAATGGAGTTCAGTGCTCAATGGACTAGTCGAGCTGCTCTTGCCTTTGCCTTGATCTGCTCGCCAATGTCTTGTGCATTGTCTTCTCTGTGAAGTCACAGTATTTGCATTTTAAAAGTCTAATTCATTAACAACATTTAAATGAATAATTTTAGTCGGCAATTAAACAAAGAAACAAAAAATTACATTCAATTCTAAATGAAGATCTTTGTCAAAGGCATTCGCCCCAACCAACTCCCCATCATTCTCCATCTCTTTTCAGATGGGATGGCGGGCCAAATCAAAGTTTACTATGGGCCAACTTTGGGCACCACTGATTTAGACAGAAATACTAATGCGACCAGTGGTTCAAACATCCTGAAGGCGGTGGCATGTATTAGGATGATAATGTACCAGTACACAGCATGACTAGTGACAGTGTGGTTTGATGAACATGACAGTGAATTTAAACATCTCCCTGGCCTGCACAGTCACCAGAGCTAAATATGATTAAGCACTTTGAGGTATTTTGGGGGGATGAGTCAGAAAATGTTTTCCTTAAGCAGCATCTATATATATGTATATATACACTACCTGACGAAAGTCTTGTTGCCTAATCAAGGTTTTAGGAAAAACAAATAACTTATAACTTGACTTCTAGTTGATCATTTGGTATCAGATGTGGCTTATATGAAAGGGAAAGGCCAGATTATGCTTTTTTTAACCAAAATAATGCCTTGATTTTTAATTATTTAATTAGGAAAGTGAGGTTTAATTTGCTTAGACTAAAGTCTTGATAAAAATAAAAGAACAGAAATAACGTACAGTATAGAATATAAAGTCATGCTGCGTTGGAAAAACTTCATCCACACATCTCTGCAATGACTCAAATCACGTATTAATAAAGTCATCTTGAATTGCAAAGAAAGCGTTCTTGCAGGACTCCCAGAAGATCCTTTAGATGAATCTTCAATACCTCCTCCATCTTACCCCAGACATGCTCAACAATGTTCATATCTGTTGACTGGGCTGGCCAATCCTGCAGCATCTTGACCTTCTTTACTTTCAGGAACTTTGACGTGGAGGCTGAATATAAACTGTCCACACTTTAGCAATAAGGCTACTGAACAACTTATTTAAACTAAACATGACCAAACAATGAATGCTGCACAGTTGTGAATTTATTAGTCACTACAGTATTAGAGTTGGATGGAACAATTTCAACACAAACTGAAAAAGGAATATTTTGTAAAAAAAAAAGCAAAACCTTTTCACTCTAAAATACGCTGGGGTGTTTCTATCCAAATGTGAGGTAAATATTGACAAAACCAACAAATGTATTGCATTTTGTTTTTAAACTCAGCAGCTTCATATTATACCCAAAATTGGATAGAACAACAGCGTTTATCAATATTTCTAAACCATAAAACATTAAAGAAAACTGAAAAGCCGTACAGTACATCTACACCACTCCATTCCTCTCAATATGTCAGTAACTAAAAACAAAATGTGCATAAAATTCAAACACAACCATTAACGCAAAATACTTCACGAACATGGCAAAATGTCTATATAATCTGATTAGTAACATTTCCTTTGGTTCAAAAAGTCCAAATTCTGCACAAAGCTGTTTATATACAGACCTCAGATTTGGTATTCTACATTATTCATCAGCATAACGATGACCCGATTGTGTTAGTTCTATAAAACAAAGTCATATTTGCCTCAAAAATACCTTCAGTTAACAAACTAAATCCTCAGTATACGACGACAGATGCACAAACTCTTATAATCCTTTTAAAATGCATCACGTCACAGTGCATATGTGACCACCGCACATGCTATGGTGTTAAAATGATCAACAAAACAGTTTATTATGCATAAAAAACGTTTCAAGAAATTATTGCATCCATTAAAGGTTAATAAGCCAGATCATATAAGAATACCATTAGAGGAGAGAAAAAAGTACGGTAAATTCCAGCTTTAATAATTACAACATACTAGTTTATTACTGTTCCCTTGTTTAAATCAGGAGTTCTCAAACTATTCCGCTCACGACCCCCAAAATCACAATGCCAGTGACTTGCGACCCCGAATAACCTTTGAAGCCTTGAAGCATGCAATGGCGCGCACACACACCAACAGACCCAAGTCTATTCTTCGTCTAATTTTAAATGTATGCGAGTGCTGTAAAATGAGCCAAAAAGTTTAACCTGATGTTATAAAAATCAATCTGCTGCATCTGACGATACTGCTGTCTTTAATATAATGTAATTACCCCAGGGGTCGCAATCCAATAGAACTATAAGCTACTATATTAACTGTATAGTATATAGTAACTATAAACAACTATTTTTTTTGTCTTCGGTAGGTTATGGATAAATACGGTCATTCTTATGGTTTAATAAAAATAAATCGATTTTTGGAAATCAACAGGCGACCCCTCTTCATTGTCCCGCGACCCCTAGGATGGTCCCGACTCCCACCTTGAGAACCACTGGTTTAAACTGCATTGGAATAACATATCTGACAACCGTTGAGTTATTATGAACTGATTTATCATCTTCACTCGGCTACTGAAAGACTGATTCAGTCGGGCACTAGTGAAAACAGTAATTAGTTCTGGCTCAGAAATGTAAAGAACTTGTAAAAATATTGTGCTTTAACCGTCTGTATGGAATAACCTTGAATGTATTGTTTGTAACATATTAGTAAATACGTCCTCTGTGCAATTCTTCAATCTTTTACATTCCAAACCTCCTCAAAACACCTTTTCTTCAATAGTCATCGTGCAATACATATTTTTTTTATGTGAAAATTCAGTAGTCTGGCTTACAGAAGTACTGTTTTTCCATGTAATATCTACATGTATGCATAGCAAATTGCCTAGAAAGCTTTTCAATGTGGTTAAAAGACATCCAAACACGGACGCCTTAGCTAAAATCAGGCTAAATTTAATAGATGTCAAACAATAGTATGAAAATAAGACTTATTAGACGCTCTCAAAAAATAGTTTTGGCTGCTTGTTCAAACTACTAAGTTAAAATGAGCTGAATCAAGACATTTATTGAGATTTTTGGGGGACAACTTAATTGTTTTATGTTCAATCAACTTAATTGATTTGTGTTGGGACAACATGAAGGAATCGTGCAGCATTTTTACAGTGTATTTGCTGATCAGTCTATTTTTGGGCTATTGTTAGGCGTCTCTTAGATGTTCACTGATTTTATTTAGCCTTGTTTTAGTTTCGACGTCGATCAGATTACTTTTAAACACAGAAACTGCTTACTGGGTACATTTGCAAGCCTGTTTGAAATATGGGCCCATGTATTTTTACATATTGACCATACTCTACGCGAATACACAAATGTCTCACTAGTGCCATGTCCAGCTTTGCATGCAATAAGGTGCAGTCATTTAGTGAAATTTCCCCAACCAAAAATGGTTCAATGTCTCCTTGCTCAGATCACACCTGGTATTGAGGGTTTGCACAAATTTGCAAATCAGTTCTCATGGTTAATAATATATGATGCTTTTAATCCGTGTTAATAAACAGATTATTTTGGAGTGAAAAAGATATACGGGGAAAAAAAAAAAGATGTAGACTTTTCAACGAACATGACTAAACATTGAAAACAATGCTGTGTGCTCAGCTAAATGTGCTCATCATATATATGACATTTATCAGTTGAGACTTTATGAAGGGCTTGTAGGACGATTAAAGCGGCCCAAACTGCATCAGGAAAACACACGCAAATAAAGTTTTGGCTTTAAAGGGCCATGAAAGCCCCTCGTTTCAGCAGGGTGTTTGCACACCTCTACTTTGGAAAAAGTCAGAAAAGTGGGCGTGTCCAGCTCTGTTTAGGGGGGAGTGTCGGAGGAAGAAAAGAGGCATGGTGTGGGAGTGTCTATTTGGGCGCGCTGAGTTTCAGAGTCAAAATACACACACACAGGGGACAAAGTGACTGTGTTTACATGGACATCTGTAGTCGAATTATTTGCCAAATTATTAAATGGTGGACTTTAACTGCAGTTTGGCTCTTTCATTCAGGGAATTCAGTCATGTCCCTCCCGACAAACGAGATATTTGATTCGAGAAACTGCTGCAAGCGTGTATTTTTCATGCAATGTTTGATACCGCACGACGAATGAGAGAAAAAAAACCTTCATATTCCGGTCACAAAATGCGGTGAAAATACTACACGACGGTAATAGTTTGGTTGTAGTGCTAACAAGTTTACACTAGGTGCAATAGTTTGTTCGATACGAACAAACTGAATAAACAAAGAGCACTGGTCGCTCACTTACCAAATCTGTAGAGACAGGACAATCACCAGCAACTAGAGCCGCGTCTTTATTAAGAGAAGACTACAAGCGAATCCGGATCTCAGCGTTTGCAGATGAGAACAGCTCTCAGGTAAACAATAATCCTCCTTAGACACGTAAGTTATTGTTGTCGAGCGTCGCGTACACTGTTAATCCACGTGACTCCAGCTGCGCTCTCACAGTGAGAAAATGAAAACAAAACTTAACTGCAGCAAACTATAAAAGCAACACTTCACGCTTGTTTTGCCAACACAACGTGGCGTCTCTGTCGTCTAAACACTGTGACAGTAATGAATATTAATGAAGTTGCACAATAGAGCGCGCTGATTGGTTTGAACCAAGCTTTACTCATGCATTAATGCAGCAGGCTGTAAGACGTAATAAGACACACTCTGGTACAGACGCCCAGTCTGCACGCTGGAATACAACGCTATTATGTCATGACCGTGACGCAGCTTCAAAAATTCATTTCAAACCGGAAGTACGAATTTGCTTGAAATAACGCAAAAACAACCAATTTACACTTTTTAGTGAAATATAGGTGTCCTAATATATAAGTGTCCTAATAGTATTTTTAGAAGTGTGGGACACATATACGACTGTCAACAGCTCAAAAAATGTGTTTTGGTGTTTCGTGATCCTTTAAATGGACAGTTCAACCACAAAATGAACATTCAGTTTGAGTTTTTTTCTTCTTCTGTTGAACACAAAGAAAGATATACTGAAAGAATGCTGGGGGAAAACAGCCATTGACGTTCATAGTATTTTTGTTCCAAAAATTAATGTAAATGGTTGTTTTTTTTTCTCCTTCATTCTTCAGAATATCTTGTATTGTGTTGTGTTCAACGGAAGTTTAGAACCACTGGAGTGTGAGGAAAACCTTTATTTTTTAAGGAAACTGTGTCTTTAGGATTGTGTTTCTGACACTAGTATTAAGGAGTAATACACAGCATTGTGTGACTATCAGCGTATTCAATTCAAAGTGACTCATCCTTATGCCCTAATCTTTTCTAAGGGGGTTTACCCTTCGGAGTGAACACTTCAAAGGGATTAAGGCATAGGGATGAGCTCTTCTGAATGGAACACAGGTGTTCGACGTCAATCAACTTCCCTAGCAAAGCATCATGGAGACCCAAAGTGTCCATGAGATGAAATCAAAGTAGCCAGCTTTAAAGCACTTTGATTTGGAAGGACATATCAATTTGGCGGCCATGATTGTTTTCACACCCTTCGGAGGGTGACATATTCTGGAATGTTTAGTTTGGAATGTTGAGAGAAGAAAAAACAAGCATAATTGAGCATTTTGGCGTTTTGGGGTCAAAACATTTGACATCATGTCCTGTTTTGGTTTGTTTTGATGTCTTGACATTTATACGTCCATCAAACTGCGTTACGGTTCATCTGGAGGCAGACTGAGACCATTTTCCTACTTGTTTGGTGCGCAAAGTCTGTATGTTTACATTTTGAAGAAAGGAACGATGGATGCCAAGGGAGTAATCACAATAAAATTGATTTGAATTCAGACCAAAGTGTGAACACAAGCTTGGAATGCAGTTTTATCAATCTGATCCCATTTCGACCAATTCCAGACGTAATGTACGAAAATACATTTGATTGGTTGATTTCACTAAAGAGGAGGGGGTAGAGGAGCTCGAATCTTTTCAAACACCAATAAAAGAGTTGACTGCATGTCTACTGTGTGGATGCCAAATCTCAAAGACTCTCCCTTTAGTGTTGTCAAAAGAACTGGTACTAAAAGTCGGTACTAAAAATTATTTCAAAACACGGTACGAGGTTTTCTGAAGTAAAAAAAGCTGTGCATTTGCGCTCTCTTCATAAAAACTTCACAAAACTTTATGCTACATGAGTAAAGTAGTTTCAAATAATCAATGGAAATTTGTCTTGTCTTATAAGACCACATATGTATACAGTAGGATTGTGGATCTCTCTCTTTTTTTAAAAAAAGCATTGGTGTTGTTTAATAGTTTGAGGACAACTTTAACATGTTTGATCCACTTCAAATGTTGACTACAGTATATCGATTACGACAAAATGATGTTTTTGTACTATAACCGTACTCAACACTACTTCTTTTTTTTTCCCCTTATATTATGGTCAAGATTTCACTTTCTGACAACTTAAATGTGATTTATGCTCTCCCTCTTTCTTTTTCTAAACAATTTTAATTGACGTAGCTGAGTTTTTTTATCCATGCGTTAAACCTGATGAAAAATAAATGAATAATGTCTTAGATGAACTTTTAACCGTTTAAATGTTGCTTAACTTCGTTAATATTTAAATAGTATGGGTTTTGAGTCCTGCTTTTGTACTAAGAAAAGCGTAATTTCACTGCTATCAGTACAAAATAATTTAAATTGATATCTGGCAACCCTTCTCCTTTACAAGGCAAAGAAATTGGCTGTATAATACTAAAATTGGCAGTAACACCTACAGTAGCACCCTTTATACTGACAATAGAAAATAGAAGACATAGTTGCCATAACATGTAATGATGCTTGAGTTTGTGTACTTGTGTAGAGTATGTTTGGACCCAAAAGACTGCCGATGCTGTGGTAAAACTATTAATTAAGTACACTACATGTCCATCTTTACTTCATCAACACTGACAGGTCCAATTTCGTAAAACTCCCACAAGAAACTAAACTACGCTATCCTGCATTTAAACACTCTCTGTTGCATTATATTCAATCACATTTACCCAAAAATAAAGGGGGCACGCAATTTGTACTACGAGGGAAATGTGTTGGAATTTTAAGCAGAACAGAAGTTTGTTCCTGTGTATTTTCTGACCCCGTTCTTCTCCTATTTGGTCACAAGGAGGTCACATGAGGTACCAAGCAGCCAATCCGGCGAGAGCAGCGATCCAGGCAGCCAATAGGACTTGACCGGAGGGATTTTTAAGCACAGTCTTGGCTATTTGACAAACATAAGATGACCCACCACTGGCAGCTGAAACGGAGAGAGACAAAAAAGTAAATGTGAAGTTCACTTCCAAATGGGTAGTTATGAGTCTATAAATACTAATTAGTAATATATATATATATATATATATATATATATATATATATATATATATATATATGTGTGTGTGTGTGTGTGTGTGTGTGTGTGTGTGTGTGTGTGTGTGTGTGTGTGTGTGTGTGTGTGTGTGTGTGTGTGTGTATGTATATGTATATGTATATATATATATATATATATATATATATATGCATATACACACACACACACACACACACACACACACACACGTGTATATATATATATACATATATATAAATATATACATATATATACATACACACACACACGCACACGCACACACACACGCACACATATATATATAAAATTGAATAACTTGATAAATAAATACAATATTAAATAAAAAAATTAACTTCATAGTACCCAAAGTAATTCTATTACCTCCACATGTATTGGGTAACCTTGTTTTAAGGTGTATTTAAAGAGCCCCTATATTGGGCTTTTGAAAATGACCTTCCATGTAACAGCTTTAAGTGAAGTGAAATATCCAGCTAAGGCTTAAATCTGAAAGTGGACACTGTTTAAAACTATTGATTCATCTATAAAAGAGGCGACTCATAGTGCTTCAAATAAATCGTCTTGATAACGAGTCTTTAGCTGTTTAGGCGTGAAGTGGAAAACAAAACATAAATCCGGCCCAATTGTCGAGTGCGCAAACACGGGAAAATCGAAAACTGCGATCCCGCCCACAAACACAGTAGCAAAGAAAAAGAGGAAGACAAACAGATCCTAAATTCATGAGTCATGAAGACACTGTGCTCAGCTGGAAATTATCATAGACTGTAAAATATATGGACGTAGTATCCGTGACGTCACCCATAGGTTACTGAACACTGCAAAAGAAGCCACAAGTAGGCGCGGCCAACAGTTTCCATTTTGTTTTCTACACAGGTAATGGATCAGTTTATTCCTCCATTTCACAAGTGTAAGTAAATGATTGCCTCCTTGGTTTCTCCAGCTTGGAAATTATCTATTTAAATGTGTTTTGTTACTTGTAACCGCGTGTACTGTATCTGGTTAACTCTTTATATTCTCATATTGCGTCTAATGCCACGTTGAAAACACAATAAGTGCTGCTTTGTTTACGGATTTAGATGTGTTTGTGAGCTCATGATCGTTTGTCGTTGCTATGGCAACCGTTAGCTGTTTTGACACATGTGCAGCGCTCAAGGTTCAGAATAGCTCAGCTTTTGCCGCTGTGTGGATTAATACTGAATGTGTGTCATGGTTAAGAATGGAGGGAGGTTACGTTCAGGGGTGAGATGTCTGAATAACACTGTTGAGAACCTGATACTGTGTCCTGTGGTGTTAGTAAGTTAACTGCCAGAGCCGGCGCATCCATAGAGGCAATGTAGGCAGGCAGAATAGTGAGGGCGGAGTCCGCGAACCCCCTGTCCTCCGCGACATCCACGCTCTCCTTCCCAATCCTCACTTTGGGAGGGTTAGAGGGTGGTCGCTGGTAGAAATTACGGGAGCTTTCCAGGATAAATAACAAAATGGGTGAGTGGCTGGAGATGGGTCTGAAATATGGGAGAGTCCCGGGAAAAGCAGGAGTGCTCACACATACACTATATGCACTCTGACTACTTCAATATTGTTGATAAGTCGTGCTGGGAATTTCACTTTGTCTTGCGCTAAATGCTGTCGACCAATAGCAACAGGCGGTCATCAGTCCGACCAGCGCAGATTAGCTTCGCTTTAAGGAGGGGTTTGTGAACAAATGAATGGCTGAACGATTCACATGGGAGTCGCTGGGATAATTCCATAAAAATAAATGCTTATTATAAGACAATGAAAGTGTTTTTTGACCTTGCAAGCATATCAGCCTGCTGTTGGAGACCCTTCAAACCAAAATATGACCCTTTTCAATGTATAATAGGGGCTCTTTAACATATGCAAGAATAGTCTGGTATAGGTTTACCCATTTTAGCAGCATGATACGGACACTGACTGATGTCTCCCTGCATCTCGCCATGAACAGGAGCAGCGTCAAAAACATCGTCCTCAAGAGTCTGTCCAACCTCACCTATTTCTTCAAAGATCTGCAAAGGCACACAAAGACACAAAAATAAATCAAATAAATAAGTTACAGGATAGAGTGAGGAAATGGCTGGTGTTTGATGAAAAGTGCTTTATCATGAGATGTCTCATCCAGTGTTACATAAACACACTTCACTGCAGGTCTATGATAAAAGATGCTGGCGAGATAGGAGATCTAGTTTTGACCCAGTTTTGTCCATTTAATTCGAGAG